TGATGAAATGATCTTTTGTAACTATATAATCACCTTTGTTTCTTCTTACAGTTTTTGACTTAAAGTTCATTCATTAACAGGCATCACATTGCTTTACCATGAGTATGATGTTAACTGTGGGCTTGTCATATATGACCTTTTTATGTTGTGGTACATTCCTTCTATGCTAAAAAATTCGAATTTTTATCATGAAAGGAGTTTATATTTTGTTAAGTGCTTTTCTGTATCAATTGAGATGGTCACATGATTTTTATCCTTCATTTTATTATCACACTTGTTGATTTGTGTACATTGTACCATCCTTGCATACCAGGGATAAATCCCACTTGGTTGTGTGGAGGATGATCTTCTTAATTTGCTCTGCTAATAATTTATTAAGAAAATTTTGCATCAATATTTGCCTGTAGTATTTACCTATAGTTCTCTTTTCTTATTATCTCCTTACATGGCTCTGATATCAGGTCTTATAAAATTAGTTTGAGAGCATTCCCTTCTTTTCAATTTTTTGGAAGAGTCTGAGTAGTGCTATTCTTTAAATGTTTGTTACAGTTCATGATAGGAACCATGTTGACCTGGACATTTCTTTTAGGGATTTTTTTTTTTATTATTAACTCAATCTCCTTACTCTTTACTGGTCAGTTCAGATTTTCTATTTCTTTATGATTTAGTTTTTGTAGGTCATATGTTTCTAGTAATTTGTACATTTCTTCTTTAGTTATCTGGTATATAATTGTTCATAGCAGTCTCATAATCTTTTATATTTCTATGATATCAATTGTAACATCTCCTTTTTCATTTTCAATTTCACTTTAATCCTCTATTTTTCTTAGTAAATCTAGTTAACCATATGTCTATTTTGTTTATCTTATCTAATTTCATTGTTCATTGATCTTTTTCTATTGTCTCTTTAATTATCACTTAATTTATTCTCCTCTAATCTTTGTTATTTCCTCCCTTCTGCTAAGAGTGGGCCTAATTTGTTCTTCTTTTTCTAGCCCTTGAAGTAAAAAGTTAAGAGTTTTTGAGATTCTTTCTTTTTTTTTTTAACAATTTTTTTTTTAAAGATTTTATTTTATTTGTGTATACAGAACTGGGATACAGGCCAGAGATGTGGAGGGTGAGAGAATTCACCAGAGACAGAGTGGAGTGCAGAACAGGCAGATCAATGAAATACACTGCTGAGGGGAGCAGCGGGCGGGTCAGGAGAGGTCTGCCATGCCATGTGGTCACCTCCGGGGCAGGTGGGAATCAAACTCATGAGGAAGCGGCTTTAGATTCTCAGTGCTGTGCTTTAACCTGCTGCGCCACCAGGGAGGACCTCTTTTTTTAATATAAGCATTTATTTAAAAAAATTTCCCTCTTAGAACTATTTTTGTTCCATCACATAAATTTAGGTATGTTTCATTTTCATATTTGTTTGAAATTTTTTTTTTAAATTTCCAGTTCTTTCCCCTTCTTTGGTCCATTGGATGATTGTTTAGGAGGTCTTTTTTTTTTTTTTAAATTTCTTCATAGTTTTGAATTTTTCAGTTTTTCTTCTGTTACTGATTTCTATTTTCATGCCATTCAGTTGGAAAGGATTCCTGGGATGATTTTAACCTTCTTAAATGTGTTAAGACTGGTTTGTGACCTATTAAAAGACCCTGTGTATACTTGAAAAGAAAGTGTATTCTACTGCTACTGGATGATAAGTCTCATGTGCCTGTAGGGTCCATTGTTCTAAAGTACAGTTTAAGTTTAATATTTCCTTATTGGCTTTCTATCTGGATTATCTATTTGTTGATAAAATAAGTTGTTGAAATCCTCTATTATTATCTTACTGCTGTTAATTTCTCCTTTATATCTATTAGTATTTGCCTAATAAATTTAGGTGCTCTGATGCTGAGTATATGTACATTTCTGACTTCTTTGTCCTTTTGATGAAATGATCTTTTGTAACTATATAATCACCTTTGTTTCTTCTTACAGTTTTTGACTTAAAGTTCATTCATTAACAGGCATCACATTGCTTTTAAAAATATTTTTATTGTGTTCTCATTTTGTTCCAGACATTGAGTTTCTCCTTTTGATCTCTTTTGATCTATACAATAATCCTGAAATAGGTACTATTATTCTGACTTTATAGATGAAAAATTGAGGCTCAGCAGATTGCAGGAGTTGTTCAATGTCATATAGCAAACCTTGTGGCAAAACAATAAATAACTTGAACCCT